ACCTTCAAGAAAAGAGCCTACTCCTTTTTAAAAGGCCGGCAACGCATCTGCAATTCCCCTGGTGTTGCGGTTGTTCATGGGCGGCGGTAGTCACTTACCATCAGGTGAGCCGCATGCTCGTTTGCCCCCTCTCCTATAAAAAAAAAAAAAAAAAAAAAAACAACGATTAGACATATTTAATTGTACATTGGCGGAATTCGAGTGGGTGACATTAAACTATTTGTCTTTTTTACATTAGTGGCCACATTGTTGCATTGGCTCCACTCCTGTAATAACTAAATAAATAAATAAACGTCAATTGGATGAAGTCAATGTATTCAGGTGGCTTAAGACCGTGTTTTATAATAATCTATGGGGGAGGCATATGTTCTACAGTGGCCATGTGAGAGTATGTTCTGATGATGATGATGAGACTTCAATAAAAAGCGAAAAAACACTCTCAACTCTTACAGCATTAGCTCCAGCTGGGACTCAAATCCGAGATCCATAACTTGTTGTCTAAACCACATAAAACGCGGTGGTTAATTAAGGTATATCTATACAAATAAATAAAATTGAAGTGCCTGTTGGTGATATCAAAATAACAGCTTTTTACTAAATGCATATGAAAGTATATACGGTAATTATAACATAAACACATTTTTTTTTAATTTTTGTCTGTCTGTCTGTTTGTTTATTCCGGCTAATTTCCGAAACGATTGGACCGATTTCGACGGGACTTTCACTGGAAAATAGCTGTAGTTATATGGAGTAACTTAGGTTATTTATATTTTAGAAAAATAATTAAGGTTCCACGCAACATAATTAAAACCCTAAATTACACGCGGGCGAAGTCGCGGGGAACAGCTAGTTGTGAATAAAAAAGAAATTCAAGAACTGGCAAAAAATAAATGAAGATTCTAATTTGATATTGATAAGACGGTGACGACGTTGACCAGTCATGATGACATAATAATTAAAACTATTCGTTTTTACCGACTTGCGAACAGACGTTGCGTTACGTTGATCGCGCACAGTATATTACCATTTTAATACAAAAAAAAAAAACAAATTTAAATTTATAAGTTTTACCTATACCAAAATATTAAGTAAGTAAGTTCTTATGTATTCAGTGATAATAAATAAATTGTGCTCTACTCTGATGAATATATTTCGTTCTAATACTGATAATGCGTATAAATTAAAAATTAAGTAAAATAATTAAAAGTTTCAATTCAAGTCATTTTAAATGTTTGAAAGATTTCAAAGAGAAGGAGACCTGTGTTAACATTAATATGTAAGTTGTGTGGGCTTCTCACTGCACCTCTCACAGACAAAAAAAAGTAAAAAAAAATGCATTTCATTTATTTATTTTATTTTATCACAATTACATATATCGAGGTAAGTATATTCTACGGGTGGTAAGATCCTGCCCCATAGTAAACTCAACAACACAATAGATTTGGTTGAAATGATGTCTCATGCATACATACCATAGATATTTTTTATAATAAGGTTTTCGGTAATACATAATATATTAAAAATTCGCATTCATCTTCTATAATTTTATAGGCATTTACTATTCCCTTATTTAAAATACTTTCCCTTATTTATTTATTCATACTTTTTCATCTCATTCTTTATTATTTTATCTTCATTTATGTCACCCACTTATAATTGGCTAACCATTATTTAATCTTTATTTTACTCCATAGCATTTAAGTCTTTAAGACATTGTTCGTATACAATTTTAAAAAAGTCTCATATCCCTCATTATCAATACATTATAACTCGCCCCGCATTTTATATCTTAAAAATTAATCTGTTATTAGGATTTATAAACCCTCAGCTGATCAGATTGATTGCATGTGTATATGCTAACCTCCGATAATTTCTTTACCAATCACACCTTTTATTGCATGCCTTATGCGAAAGCGCCAAGGTATGTCCTACTATCGCCTAAAAATTAAGATTCCAACGTTTTATCGAATGAAATCGTATCTAGCAATCATATTATACATATAAATGATATAAAAAGCACATTGTTAGAAAGATAAATGATTGTTGAACTTAAAAAATTTTTTTAATCGATTAATTGCTATTTTTAAATAAAAAAGGGGTTTTAGTGGCTTATGGTGTGGATTTATCAAGTCCGCAGGGCTTGTAAACACAATAACTTTTGAAAATCACATCAAGTTCAAGCAATTTTGTGTTCTTAATATGCCTCTTCATAACCATGTTGCACTTATACGATAATATGAGTAGCCGTATATCAAAAAAACACTCCAATTAATCCATCTTATATTTTTCTAAAAATCATTTTTCATAGCTACTTTTAAAAAAAAGGTTTGAAAATAATTACATGGACGTCCGGATGTTGATATTGTATGTGGTCACGATAACTCCAGAAAAAAATTAAGTATCGAGACCGGGTTTTTTTATTAGCTTCAGAATTACATTAAGTGGTTCCCTATTTCATATTAAAAGTCTAGTACGCTTATAGGGTAAATAAAATGATTTTCAACTATTAAAAGTTTTATTGCTATTAAAAATTGAAAGGCGCTTTCATATTTTTGTAGTCCTTGTACAACGGCCTTTATCGATTTTATACTTTGTGTAATCGATTTAGTTTGGTAAAAAATTTTAGTATTTTTTTCCTGTAGGTCACTACTTGTTAAAATAAAAGAGCGCTAAATTAAAAATATGTAAATAATATATTTTAAAAATCACGAATACAATTTATTTTTTTTTCATAAAAATTTAACGATACGCTCATGAGGCTTGTACCTACATTTGGATTTTCCAAACTATTTTAATTAACAAAGAAGTTTAGATCGTTACATCGCATTGAATAAAAACACATTAGCTTTATTAAAATTTAACAAATATATTATACAAAAAAAAAATTGAATAATCATTTTATCAGCTACCAAGTTTCCATAACAAAATATTAATTTATTTTAACATTAAAAAGAATAATTTAACTTTTAAAGAACGTTATTATATAACTTAAAGGTTCATTGTCTTTAGAAAGGAAGAAAAAAATTATAATTATGGCGTATTTGTTGATAACCTTTTTTTAATTTGTATAGAAAAAATATTTTTGATAAATTTCAAAATTCACTCCAAATAGAAAATAACGAAATGTATTACATTAATTAACTTTAAAAAATTAAAAATTATTGGTATACGTTAGAGTGAACTTAATAAAAAAAATCAAAGCATGAGAGAGAGAATTAGAGTTTAAAAATTTAATTTATTGCGTATCATTTAGAATTTTTCGTACATAGTAATACAAATTAAATATCGCATTTAAACATCGCTACAATTAAGTATACGACGATTATTTTTAACTTACTCGTATATTTAATACAAACCATTAATACTCGAGCCTTGGTAGTTCAGGGGCTTAACTCTCGCTGTAAATTTCACAGTACCCGAGCAACACCGATTCGATCCCCGTTGGCAACAATGAAATTGTTAATTGCAATTTTAAGTGCTTATTTACCACGTATTTGGCAAGGAAAACATCGAGCGACAATCTGCATGTCTGAAAAAAAAATATTTTAAAGTATTTTGAAGTCCGCCAACAAGCATTGGGGCAGCGCGGCGGACACTTCCTTGCCATAAAACCGTCTCAGAACCTGAATTCAGCTGTGGGACGTATAAAGGCTGTAACTTTTACTTATATTTAACACATAAACAAAACTTTCAAAAATTCTCAGTGACCGATAGACTTTAAAATGATAAGAAATTTTAATATACGTATCGTTCCGTAGGTGTCGTAAGAGGCAAAAGAGTGAATCAAATCTGAAGACGGTGTGTCACAGTGTCTTCCTAATTATAACCAAAAAAATTAAAAAACCTGTAGTCGCCAATTTATCTACCAAGCGTGATAACTATGTCTATGTATATCTACTATAAATATGAGGCAGTCAATGAAGAGGCTGAAGTGGCAGTGGATTTTTGATAGACTAAATAAGTAAAGGTAAATATTTAGTTAAGATAATATTAATATATTGAAATAATTTTTTTGTATAATTCGTACATTATCGTACCTTCACAGATAGTAAATGACAATATCAAACGATAAGTCAAGTGCTGAGCGATGAAATCGATTGTCAAAGAACACGTTGAGGCGAATAATTATGAAGAAGACAACCACATTAAGGGTGATTAATTTTTTTGATTGTTGAAAGCTTTGTTTTTTATTGATATTTTATAAATAAGAATCATGTTATTCAACACATATAAAGACGTGGTAGCCACACAAATATGTAGGCTACAACACGAATGGGTCAACTAGACTGATGAAGGACAACGCTCTCACAGAACACCATCGTGAAATAGCAGCTTCATTATACTACATTTCGTATGGGTAGTATAGAGAACTGGATACCCTTTTGACTGGAAACGAGACAATATCTCTTAGTTGTCTAAAGTTGATTCTCTTCTTGAAGGTCCTTACTTTTCTTCATTTCCGTAAGTATATCAGTCCAGAGAAACTGTTGGTGACGTTAAATTCTACAGTATCGAGTGTGGCATAAAATAGCTAAAAATGCATGTTGTATTAACAAAATATTATGCAAGTTTACTACCTATATAGTGATTATTATTGTTTTCAGGTAAAATTTGTTGTGGTCAATGCACCAACACATGTAGAATCGTAATAAACTTAAATCTACGTTTGTATAAAGTCTAGACCAAAACCTAACAATTTGAATTTAGGACAAATGTTGACTCTGAGATTGTATTCAAAACCAAAACACGTGACACAGTACTCTGACTAGCAAATAATATCATACCATTAAATTAACAAAAAAATAAAAAAATAAAAAAACAAAGCATTAGCTAATATCTAAGTCATCACAATACATTCAGTTTTATGACCAATCGAGATTAACAAACGAAACAGTATGGCTTAATCAAATTTTGATATATTTTATATAACACTTGCAGGATGGGGCTACAGACATCAGCAATGTGTAGTTTTATTTTGCTGTATAACGACGGCGTACACTATGAGAGCATGTATGGGAGTTGCTTTAGTGGCGATGATTGTTAGTGATTGTGATAATGAATATGAAAAAATTGTTCAAAATAGTACTATTGCTAGCAATTTAGTATTAAATATAACTGATTCTGCAAAAGATAATCTATACAAAAGTGTATCAGAGGAATATAAAATAGACGGTTTTTTAAGTGCCCTTTTGCTGACAGATCCGGTAAGTTATTTTTATCAATATTTATTCTATATTAATGTATTCCAAATCAACAGAATAGAATTTAAATTAGAGAACCCAAATTCGAACGAAACTTTGCAACTGGTAATTGTAAGGACCCAGTTTCGAATCATTTTTGGGTCAAAAATCTGATTTCTGTTAAGAAATTCTTACTAACATCCTGGAGACAGGAAGTTGTTGGTGTTTGTCCCCTCCCCCTCCCACCTTGGAATGTATGTAAAGCCCTTGATCTTGCGCCTGATGTCTCTCCATGTCAGGTTACCGTATCATTCAACTATGAGACTGAGGGAATAGACAGCTTCGCATGTGCACATATTGGGAATAGCGACCGCTGTTTTGTATGAGTATACATACAAAACACGGGATGATATGGGTTAGTAGTTATTCTTACACCGTCACTAGATGGTAAATACCAGTTTGTGTATTTACAAAAAATATGTAAAACTTTAATTATTCTTTCAGTCTTAGATAATTTTCAGTGTCTTTTTCTTTTAAGTATTAAAAAATGTTTCTAAAAAAATATATTTAAGTATAAATTTTCAGATTATTAAAATTTAATCATTTTTACTAACATGAATAGGGACATATGGACTTTAAATTATTTTCGTTCATAGAATGTATAGGCTCTGTAATACTAAGTGTTTTGAGCAAAATAACCTTTGTTTCTTATAAAAGTAATTTTCAACCCACAGAGGCAGAACTAAGCTCATAAATATTTTTTATCATAACAGCGGTTCAGTTTTGACACGGTCAATAAATAATGACTTGACCTTTACTGAAAATATCGTGGCCTTGCTTCAAAATATTATATTATTTTATGTTATGTTCATTAAACTAGCATTGATCAAACTTGCATTGCTGCCGCGGAAGAAATAATTGTGGACATATTGTTTTAAATTTGGAAGAGTTATATTGTTTAATTAGTGATGATAATACATTCAGTAAAGTTGAATGATATATAACTTTCAAATAAATTTGTAGGTACGATACGCGCGCCACCAACCAAATACAAAATGCCATTATATTCTTATGGCTTTCGAAAAATGTATACGGATATCTTTCGGAAGCCATAAAAATATACCATCTCCGTTAGGCCAAAGGATTGAGACGGAATTCTTCATAGCCTTTAATTGAACTGCCTCTCTGTACTCTTCGAATGGGTGCCAGTTAGATACCACCCTATTTCCTATTTATGCTCCCAAATAGTATTGTGTGCAATATTGTATTCTTATGTGAAGGAAATAAGCCCGCTTTTATACGTGGTAGAGCCATGCTGCAGCTATATAAATAGTATAGTTGTAGCACGAATTGGTCGGCTCGACCGGGGAAGGACAGCACATCACAGAATACCAGCTTAATGCTGCTGTGTTTCGTATGGTGAGTGTAGAGAACCGGAGACCCTTTTTACTGGAAACGAGGCATTCCATCTTAGTCCTCAAGGATGACAACGCATCTGCATTTTGATTCTTAATTGAAGAAAAATGTAGATGTCTATGGGTCACAGCAAACACTTACCATCAGGTGCACTGTGTGCTCGTTTGTCACCCTATGCTATAAAAAATAATAATTAAAAGCTGTGAGACTTTTCATCTAAATCCTTGGGGATAACACCGCATATATAGTCTTCTTTACTTTAAAGTTAGTAAACATTAAGAGGTCCAGGGACTAGCGTAGTTTACTAAGTGGTCGGACTCCTTTCCTGCATAGGAGACCATCTGGATACCATCATTTTATATATTTTGAAGGGTATAGAGATCCAGTATGATATTTTTATGGTAGAGCCATGCTGCAGCTATATTAGTAGTATAGTTTTAGCACATATGGCTCGGCTCGACCGAGGAAGGCCCACGCTCTCACAGAATACCAACGTAAAATAGCAGCTTAACGCTGCTGTGTTTCGTATGGTGAGTGTCGAGAACCGGAGACCCTTTTTACTGGAAATGAGGCATTCCATATTAGTCCTCACGGTTGACAACGCATCAGCATTTTGATTTGTAGTAGAGGATAGATGTACACGTCTATGGGCCACAGCAGCTTATTACCATCAGGTGGACTTTGTGCTCATTTGTCACCCTTATCCCATAAAAAAAGACCATGAGGTATTTTATCTTAGTTCTCCAAGGTGACAACGAATCTGTAGTCTTCTTTGTTTCAAGTCGGCTGCAGGTTTCCAGTTGCAATAGTTACTTATCATCAGGTGGAATATAGGTTCATTTTTAACTTTAGTTTTGTTAAAATATACATAAATTCATAAAAAATGTTTTATTCCTTACAGTACCCGAAGTTCAATTGGAGTAAGAAGATTCAAGATACAATACTCGCTTCCTTCTTCTGGGGATACATGTTGCTGCAAATCCCCGCCGGACAGCTCGTTCATCGTTTCGGATCACGTTATCTATTATCAGGGGCGCTTTTTATAAACTGCGTTGTATCTTTTTCATTACCTTGGGCTGCTTTTTATGTAAGTATTAAAAATCATTGCTCTGGAGTTATTAAAGATATAAAAAATTCATTAGTTAATATCCGCGTAATAAAACCAAATAATGTTTCTTGTTTAGTTTGAAGAGCATCTCCAGCTCTCCCTCAATTGCACCAATCTTACAACACCATTAGACTAGAAAACACGTTTATCCTGATGATGCATCATTTAGAGGCAATGGCAATATACGAATGAATGAATGAAAAGATATTATTTTTTAATATTCACAGGGTGGTTGGATATGCATTCTCATCTTTAGAATAACTCAAGGCTTGAGTCAAGCTTGTATCGTACCAGGAATTCATACACATCTAGGCAAATGGACACCTCTGAAGGAAAGGAGTCGTTTAAGCGCTTGGGCGTATGGAGGTACCTACGTAATATACTGTTATTTTTCTACAATAAGTGTTTTTTTCTAGTGTAGTAATGGATAGATGGTGGGCGCTGAGTGCTCGATTAAGAATCCAAATTCTGCAATCCAAATCCAGATGCGTTGTCACACTTGAGGATTAATGCCTCATTCTTAGTACAAAAAATAAACGTGGTAGCATGAATAAGTCGGCTCGACCGGGGAAGGACCACGGTCTTGCAGCATAAAATAGTAGCTTAGTGCACTTCAGTTTCGTATGGTGAGGGTTGTGATCCGAAGAAACGAGGCATTCCATTTTAGTACTCGAAAGTAATAATGAATCTGCATTTGATTTTTAACCGAGTATAGATGTATATGCCTATGGACTTCATGGACCACAATATACACTTATCATCAGATGGCTTGTGTGCTCGTATGTCACTCTTATTACATTTTTTTTATAGGATAGGGTGACAAACGAGCACACAGTCCACCTGATGGTAAGTGGTTGCTGTGGCCTATAGACATCTACATTTATCCTCGTTTGCGAATCAAAATGCAGATGCGACCGTGAGCTCTAAGATGGAATGCCTCTTTTCCAGTAAAAATGGTCTCCGGTTCTCTACACTCACCATACGAAACACAGTAGTGTTAAGCTGCTATTTGACGCTGGTATTCTGTGAGAGCGTGGTCCTTCCCCGGTCGAGCCGACCCATTCGTGCTACAACTATATTACTAATATAGCTGCAGCATGGCTCTACCACGTACATAAAATAAATAAAACATAAAAAGGGTCTCTGATTTTCTACACCCATCTTAAATGACATTGTAAAACACCCTGGTATTGTTGTTAAAAATAGAGTAAAAACTTACAAGTTTTTACACTATTTTGATAAGTGATATTCGCATCCAATTATCAATCTGACATATCATAAACATATCCTTTTATAACGCTTTGGGAAAAGAGTGAGAAAGGGCAAAGAGAAAACATAAAATAAATTAAAAGAAGTAAAGAAAAAATTTACTAATACGTAAACCCTTCACTCATTATACCGTAATATTTTATTAAATTGCTCTTATAATTTTATAACATTTTATATCACTTTATTTACCTGTCTTACCGGCAACGATCGTTACCGTGGGAGTTCAGGGCTAAGCGCTCGTTTTACTCACTTACTGGCATTACAGTACAAGAGCAACCCGGGTTCGAGCCCCGTCTAATGCAATTGTTAATTTCAATTTTAAGTGCCTTTTTGTCACGTGCTTAACGGTAAAGGAAAATATCGCGAAGAAACCTGCACGTCTGACAAATAACAAAAAAATATTTTATAGGCATGTGGACATTGCCAACATGCATTGGGGCATCGCTGCGAACATTCCTAGCTCTAAAAACCTCTCGAAAATGAGAGGATTACTGTGCCCAGCTGTAGAACGTATATATGCTGTTACTTTAATTTTTAACTTTAGCGGCATCATACACATGTTTTTTTATTCTTGGTTATCTATGGCATAGTATCCACCTTATATTCCACGGGAGAGAAATATTAGGCACTCTGATTTTCAATTTTCACGTGTTACTGTAATGATTTTTACAAAACTAAAAGTTAACTATAAAATTTCATCGTCTTTTATAAAATTATGCAACGTTAGTTTTTTTTTTTATCAGGTCAAGCTTTAGGACCAGTGCTCAGTTTCCCAATAACAGGCTTTATAGCTGCATCACCACTGGGCTGGCCTGGTATCTTCCGTTTCTATGGTCTTCTCTCGGGACTTGTTGGTTGCTTAATATGGTGGACGATTTCTGATACGCCAGCCCAACATCCCAAAGTATCCGCGGTTGAAAGGCAATACATAGAAAATGATTTGGGTGACACTGATGACTCGAAGGTAAAATATTTCTGTGTGAAATTTATTCGTATTAAAATATGTTAGAATAGACAGTGATCATATCATATACGCAACAAATAACGTGCTAGATTACATCATCATCTTCATAGTAATTATCATCATTACTGCCCTTCACAAAACCACAGATGAATTTAGGCCTACCTCAAGTAATGTCACAAATCACAGTCGTGTTCCGCCTGCTTCCATCGACTCCTTGTTTGTTTTACCAGGGCGTCGCTCCATGTAATAAAGATGTGTTCTAACTTCACCGTTCTTCCTTATCAAAGAGAATATATATAAAGATATAGTATACGTGAAGAAGGCAATAAAACGTTAGATACCTTTGACATAATTCGTCCTGAAAAATTGAAGTGAAGTGTTTTAACATCTCGAGCCGTGGTAGCTCAGATGGTTGGCGCTCGCGGTAAATTTCACAGTACGCGAGCAACCCGGGTTTGATCTCCGCCGGCACCAATGAAATTTAATGCAATTTAAGTTCTGATTTAACACGTGCTCGGCGGTGAAGGAAAAGATCCTGAGGAAACCTGCATGTCTGAGGAATAAGAAAAAAGTATTTCTAAGACATGTGAACTTCGCCAACACGCATTGGCGCAGCGGACACTTCCTTGCCCTCTCAGAAATGAGAGGAGGCGTGAGCTCAGCAGTGGTACGTATATAGGCTTTAACTTTAACTTTTTTTTAAATCTCGATATTGTTAAAAAAAAAAGACGCGAAATAACGGTTTTCAAGTAACAACCTCGTGCTATTAAGCGAAGTGTAGGACGGCCCGCCACTAGATGGAGTGACGACCTGGCAAGATATGCAGAAGTTGGTGGATGCAGGCTCAGGGACCTGCTTTCTGGCATTTCTTGGGGAGGTCTATGTTCAGTTGTGGACTTATGAAGGGCTGCAATAATGATTTTTATAAAGCATGTTTCCAGAAAACAAATAATTTTCATTTTAATTTTTTTTAAATATCTGTGGTTGTCAACCCTAATGATAAGTGCGACTAAGTAAGGTGTGAACTATGGTAAATATCCACCTATGACGTAATCTATATGGGAAGCCTATGTTCAGCAGTGGGCATTTGATAGCCTGTAACGGTAACGGTAACAGAAACACGATTTGGACAAATTTTGTAAGTAGGTTTTTAATCGACAATCACCTGCGCTTCCTCTGCTTTTATGAATGTTCACGGGCGGTGGTGCTTATTTATCATTCACCAGTTTTAAAATTCATTACCCACCACCAATGTCCATACTATTAATGATCAGTAGTGCAGTTTGGCTGCAGCCCTGGGAGTGACGGATTTGATTCCTGCATTGTTCATGTAGTAGTTTAACCTACAAATAGATATTACTACTTTAATTATAATAAACTCATTACTAACTACAATCCCAACTGGTGGTAAGCCACATTTACAGGTACAATTGCATTGTGCTAGCGCGAAAGAGTCTATTCACTCTTGGCTTAAACATTGTAATCGGACGGAAACATTAGTGCTGGCAAAATTATATTACTCCTGTGCTGAACGCAATACGAAAGACTCTTGTGAAGATATTTATATGTGCAAAACGCCTCTTGACCATGCAGTTGTGAAGTAAGGATATTCACTACCCCATATTGTCCCGTGGGTCTCGTAAGAAGCGACAGACGGAATCCAACAAGGAGATGGGTAGCAGGTTCTTTCTAAAAACTATTAAAATAAAAATCTGCGATTGCCAAGCCACCTGCCAAGCTTAGCAATTGCCAAAGTTGCTATATACATGAATGGGGGCAATTAATGGGGGAAGAAGCCTTTGTTCAGCAATGGACTTTAATAGGATGTAATGGAAAAAAGCCTGCGCGAATAGATCGTGTGTCATAACAGACTGTGAGGTATATAATCTTAAACTTCAAACATGACAACGCAATTGTCTGCGTAGTTTGAACTTCGTGCAAGTTTCCATGCGCTGCAAAGGCCACTTTTCAGTAGGTGGACAGGTAGCATGCCAGACACTATAATATTTAAAAAAAAATATGTAAACATTTTGGACATAGGATATTTGTCCACGTGTGGTCTAAATCATAAAAAATATACAGCTCGGGTAACTTTTTTTCATATTCTTCTTTATGAGCCCATAAAGTGCTCACCTGAAAAAGAGCTTTCGTTGTAGGGACGACTTGCCTTTATTTATTAATTTGGAATTTTCCACGCCTCTTACGACACCCATGGAACGTGATGGAGTTTTGAATAATCCACGCGTCTTACGACACCCGTGCAAAGAGATGAAATTAGGAATTTTCCAGGCAGTTTACGACACCCACATAATGAGATTAAATTTAGAATTTTCCACGCTTCTTACGACACCCAGATAATGAGATGGAATTTAGAATTTTAGCCGCTTACGACATCCTCGACACAATATGGAATTTGGAATTTTCCACGTCTCTTACAGTATCCACTTAATGTGATTAGATAAAATACGCTATTGATAGTTTTATTGCTTATTAAATATTTTCATTGCAGAAACCTAAGTCAGTCCCGTGGTCAAAAATATTAACACACCGTGGAATGTATGCTATATGTATAGCGCATATTGGAATGTCGTGGGGCCAACTGACCCTTTACTCGGAGCTACCGGCCTTCATGGACAAAGTCATGGGGGTCAATATTAAAGCGGTAGGATTTTTGTGACATATACAGATTTTTTTATTAAATATAGATTATAAATAATATTTATTTTTTACCACTGGTTTGGAAAAAACACCTCTGACCTTGAAAGAATTATCAAGAAACCGAGCGGGACTTTAAAAAAAAAAGCAGCTTACAATCAATATATGTTATACAAATTACAACACAAAACAAATAAGAAATAGCTTTGTAACGACGACCTAATTCCCAGGGGTCATCTCCATAAATTCCTTTACATTATAATAACCCTTTTTATACAAACTTTGTTTAATAAAGTATGGGCTGATGAGAATCTGGTATCTTTCTACGCCACTAAAACGCAGGCCTGTCTGTTCTCCGCAAAACGGACTCAGTTTGATCTGATCCCCACTTTCTGAGGTATCTGTAGAGATTGCTAACCATCTTGAGCTTTTCGGCTTACAGTTAAGTGCTAACCTTAACTTTGGCGCCATCATTGAGTCAAAAGCACAAACTGCGGCCAAATAACTGGGAATGTTAAATAAGGTGAAGCAATACTTCACGCTTGGACAGCTTCTAACTGTATACAAAGCTCAATTCCAAACATGGATGGAGTATTGTAGTCACGTTTGGGATGGAGCAACAAATTATCAACTTGCCGCACTCGACTCAGTGCAACGCTGAGCCAAGAGGCTTATGACAAAGACAAAAGCTGGTGGAAACTAAACTTCACTTTGTCCGTCTTCTACGGATTGTACACCTCCATAAGCTCATCTCCATTCTCCTATCGGAATACCAGACGTACTGCAGGTTACCTACCTGATGGTAAGTGGATGCTATTTCCCATAGACATCTACATCTTTCCTTGGTTAAGAATCAAAATGTAGTCGCACGTAGTAACGCTCGAGGACTAAGATGGAACACCGCGTTTACTGTTAAAAGTTTATGAGAGCGTGGTCCTTCCCCGATCGAGCCAATCCATTTGTGCTACAACAAAAAATCTGCAGCGAGGCTCTACCACGTTTTAATTGTCCTCTTTCATTACTAATGTTATTTTAAAGCTGTTATTTTCTGAAAATGAGTTTCAGTAATTATATTTGTAACCTATATTGAATAAAAATAATTCTATTCTATTCGTAAAACCAAACAAAATTCTGTTTTCAGAACGGACTACTCACGGCGCTTCCATTCCTAGCTATGTGGTTTACCAACTTCTTCTTCTGTTGGGCTGCTGATATGCTCATTGTTAAGAATATACTCAATGTCACTCACACTAGAAAATTAGCTAATTCCGTGGGTAAGCTAAAAGTGCGAATTAACTTATATCTTACAACTAGCTTAACTTATAGAATATATAAAATTAACTTATATTTTTAGAGTTCCAAACGGACGAAGTCACGGGGAACAGCTAGTTGTAGGTAATTTATTAGGTTTTAGATTTTATAATTTTTTTATGTGCGGAACCCTAATACTTTTTCTTAACAAAAGTAGCCTAAGCTTACTTACCTTATATCATCAACTATTTGCCAGTGATAGTCCCGTCAAAATCAGTCATTTCGGAGATAAGCCGGGAGAAATTGACAGACAAACAACATTTTTTTAAATATAGGTACTGCCTCGATGGTCTAGTGGGCGTAAACTCGATTGCTAATCATGAGGTCCCAAGTTTGAATTCCTGGTCAGGCCAGTTATTGGGTTTTCTGTCAAGAAATTCACAGTAGCAGCCTGGAGTCAAGAAGTTGGCGGTGTTTCACCCCTGTGCCTTGGAAAGCACGTTAAGTCTTTGGTCCTGCGCCTAACCTCTCTTCGGTCGTGTTGAATTAAGCGTCTCCTACACAGAAGCGGCTTGCGGTGGCGGCTTGCGGTTGCGGCCGCGGTGGCGGCCAGTTGTATTTGCTTGCAATGTAAGTGAGTCTGCAAACTCGTGCGGCCGTGGCGTGGCCTGCCAGCGGCTGGCCGCGGCCGCATGCTCCGCCCCATCTGCCAACGCGTGTGTGTTAGCGAGTACATGGTCACTTGCAAATTTTGACAACATATACCGCGTGAAAAATAGTGCTATATTCAGAGATTTTAACAGAAACAGCGCAGAATTATCCAGTACTTTATGATTATTCGCATCGCGATCACAAAAGCATTAGGATGAAAAACAAAATATATAATAATATTGCTGAATATAATAAGACTTCGTCACAGTTTGTCATGTTTACTGACGTCTGATCGTAGTACAGACACCACAGCAAATGGCGCTTCGGGCCGCCACTCCGGCTGCGGTGATGTGTTGTTGCAGCGGCTGGAGCCGCGGCTCGTGGTTAACCGCCACCGCAAGCCGCTTGTGTGTGGGAGACGCTTTATCGTTCCATCAGACTATAGTGAGAGAATTGCGCATACATTTGGGCACAATCCTGTCTTCATTGTCGATATTCAGATAGCTAGTCTCCGTTAAGACTGGCCGCCGTGACCGTAATTATACCACAGATCGTAGTAACTCAGGGTTAACCACTCGCTGCAAATTTCACTGTAAACGAGCAAACCGGCTTCTATGCTCGCCTTCACCAATGACATTTTAATTGGTGATTTACTTTGGAATTGGTGAGTAAACATCGTGAGCAAACCTGCATGTCCAAAAAATTTACAATATAAAAAATATTTCGAATACATGTGAAGTCCGTCGACACTCATTTTGGTTGCACGATCGAAATAACCCTACTAAGAGGGTTGTAGCCCTCTCAGAAAAAAAGAGGCCTATGCTTAGCGTTGGGATGTATATAGGCTGTAACTTTTAGTAGTGTTTTAAGATCAGACTGTACAGAAAGGTTTATCAATACACAACATAATATTACCAATAAATATTATTATACCGTTTGAATCTTATAAGGTGAATATTTTGACGAGAATTAAGTTTGTATGCGATTACCATCTGTAAGTTGAAAACGAACACTAATATTGCAACTTATATATACGTAGAATAGGAAGAACAAATATTATTATTTTTCGTCCAAAACATTTTAAATAATTCATGGTGCAATTTACATTCATTAAACTTAGAGTTCATGACGTCTTCGAATTGATTTTATTTTTATCTCATTCCCATTTTCACCCTAAAAAATAAAGCCTGAGAATCAATCTTCAAACTTGACGTATATAATTGTTTTTTTTTTGTTTTAAATTTAAAATTTTTATTTCAAATAGTTTTCAAAGATCAAAATGTTATTAAAATTTTCTGTGTTATTTTTGTATCGATTTCTAGTTTTTTTAGTTTGATAAGTCATTTTATTATATGAAGCCATTATTAAAAGATAAGTGTATGCCTCATGATTTAGTAAATTTTCGCTCAGTACACTAGCCGAATAACAGAGCCGCTGCAATGTTTCTTTAGCCGTTGCTTTTAATAATTTTCCTTAATCATTTTTTTTTCTTGATTTGCACTGTGGCCTCAAAATGTGTTGTAGCTAGTAATTTAAACATTTTTGCTTTTTCTTTCTCTCTAATAAATGGTTGATGAGACTGACGAAGACAGATAAGGTAGTTACGAATGTCTGGTGTTATATTTAGATATGCTAATTTTTGACACAGAACGATTACATGATCTTTTGGAACAGTGTTAAAACAAATTAATTATTTATTTTCAGGTTGTATTCCAGCTGCAATTGGTTTGATTGTGCTGGCATTTGCACCTAAAAATATTGTAGTTGTTGAATCGCTTCTAGTCATCATCTGTTCGTTCACGGTTGCAACTCACGTCGGAAGTTATGTTAGTAACGATTTTAAAATCACATTATAAAATATAATTATGGGTATGCTTTATTTTAAAGTAGACATGTTATACATACATATATATTTATATAATATATATAAGACACATATATTTTTAATTACTCACTATTGTTAAATCTTCAATAAAACTTTAAATTCTATGGGTTGATGATATAATATCTATAAAGAGTGTTGTTTTTACACAATTTCATATTAACTTTTGAGTTTGTGGTATTTAAATACAAAGGCATTCAAATATAAACATAAAGTTTTTAAATCTTTTTGTTTAAAAAATATATTGAAATACATTAAAAAACAACCAGTGCCTCTTGCCAATTATGGCATATGGATCTGAGACGTGATCGTTAACTGCTGGTCATATAAGGTAACTGAAGGTCGCGCAGCAAGATAGGGCAAGGGCGATGGTCGATGTTTCTCTGCGTGATAAATTGAGAAATGTAGATATAAAGTCGCTCAGCGAGATATGGAAAAGGCGATGGTCGGTGTTTCTCTGTATGATAAACTTAAAAATGTGGATATTCGCAGTAGAACCATAGTAACTGACATAGCCCAACGGATTACTAGCTGAAGTGCAGCCAGGCCATATAGCTCGAAGAACCGATAACCGATAGGGACGAAAGGTTCTCGAGTGGCAACCTCATACCAGTAAGGGAACTGTAGGGCGGCCCCCATATATGGAGTGACGACCTGGTAAGATATACAGAAAGTCATTGGATGCAAGTGACTAAAGACCGAGCTTTGTGGTGTTCATTGGGGGAGACCTATGTTCTGAAGTGGACTGTAATGATGATGAGTGATGAAAGTATATTGTGCTCTTAATACTTCAATGTTAAAATATAAGGTAAGTATGCACGCAACTGACAGTGCCCGTCGTTTTTTTTTTGTTTACTCCTTTTCAATTTTTAACTAATTTCTTTAGAGCGCAGTTTCTTTGCAAACAACTGGAGCAACCATCATCATCATATTAACTTTGTAAAATTCTACTGTTGTGCACTAGCATCTTATGTTATAGCGAGTTTGGTTTAATTATTACATTATTGTCATCGATTCACGTCGTCGATCTGGATTATAATACAATAGAATAGAATATTTTTTATATTAAAATAATACTTATTAAAAGTAACTTAAGAAAATAATTCCAAGCAATTAAAAAAATACATAGAAGTCGTTATACTATTACTTTAAATTCATTCTGTACCTCAATAAGTATGACGAGGCTATGAAGCGTTTAAGAAGATAAAAATAAATAGGCCTTTAAAGTAGTCAACTGAATGCCCGATTGTCGTCGTTGATTGTGTCGTGAATTGTGATAAGAGAGCTGGTTCTTTCTTCGCTCTACTGGTTCTGAAAAATGCTCTGTCCAGGGAAGAACTAAAAAGAAACCCAGCGAAACTTTAAAAAAATTACTATAATATATTTTATGCACTTATTATGAAAACATTTAGACACAGCATGGTAGCCATCATCTTATTCCCAGGGGTGTCATTACCCTCAATAAAAAATTTTTGCTTTAAAAAATTTTAAAGTTTTGGTAAATAAGTTCTGCGTATTTTCTTGGACTTTGTTGTAAAAGCGTATACATTGCCCCATGAAGGAATTACTGACTTTTTGGAGTGGTATAACGAACTTTTACTTGTAATACTGCCATTTAACAAAAGTCGACAGATCTTATTGGCATTTCCCTCTTACCTATAGTCGCCTCTTATGGTACCCACGTGACGAAATTGGTTGATAGATTCTTTGCGCCAATACCACACAGCGGTTCATCTATGAATTACTTTATCCATCCTACCATCCATTACATCCTACAAAGGTCCACTGCTCAACAGAGGTCCCCTAATAGATTGCCTCATTGGGATTTTGTTGCGAAGAGCATATTGTGATTATTTTATGTAGTTATCAGGAAGATGCTGCTGCCCATCCCTTGTTTTGGTTTCCCTCTGTCGCCTCTTTCGACACTCACGGGGCGATATGATGGATATTCTTATCTTGTCACTACACGGTAAGAAGTATTTACTTAGTTTCAATAATTTCACTGCTAAAAGAAGGAGGCTTACAATTCAACTGTATTTTTTTTGAATGGATGTGATTACTTTATATAGTTGTATAATAGTTATATAGTGGTAAATAAAAAATTACTTTTAATAAGTATGATGTTTTTTCTTATAGGATAAGGGTGACAAACGAGCAGTCACAGTCCACCTAATGGTAAGTGGTTGCTGTGGCCCATAGACATCTACATCTATCTTCGATTACGAATCAAAATGCAGATGCGTTGTCACCCGTGAGGACTAACATGGAATGCCTCGTTTCCAGTAAAAAGTGTAATAATCTATATTGAATCATAATTATTCTATTATATTCTATTCTGTTATATCTTCGTCAATTGTGATCCGATACTGATTGTTCTTTATTTTATTAAATAAGTATTTTTCAGGAGTGGTCACATATAAATTTGGAGAAAAAATACCAACCCTAAAGGTATCTATTTCGCCGACAAGTAAAGCCAACTGTTATTGTACCTTTTTTTTGTTTTTTTTTTTCAAACTTAGGCTACTCTTCTAAATCGTGGAGGAGCTGACAAATATAAATTGCACAAGAACATACATCCAGATCCGAAACAATTATTTGTAGGCCATACAAATACTTGATCCGTGCGGGAAAAGAATAAATAATTTCACATTCTGAACTCGTAGTATTAATTCTTTTTTACGCTATGTCTTAGCATCGATATCAGAATGTGAAAATATCATATGCTTTATAGATCTTTAGCAGTTTCATGATATTTCCCTCGACCAGGGAAAGAACACGCTCTCACAGAATATGAGCGCAAAATAGCAACTTAATGCTGCTATGTTTCGTATAGTGAGTATAGAGAACCGGAGACCCTTATTACTAGATACGAGGCATTTCATTTTAGTCCTCAGGGCTGACAAAGCATCCGCATTTTGATTCTTAATCAAAGATACATGTATCTAAATACTTATATGTCACAGTATCTACATGCCATCAGGTGGATTGTGTGCTCATTTGTCACCATTAGGTAACCTACAAAGAATACATTGACTGTTTTATTTTCAGGTCAATCACATTGATATATCGCCTCACTTCTCAGGAACTATGATGAGCATCAGTAACTTTGTGGCCAACTTGTGTGGATCTTTAGCTCCCATTGTCGCTGGCTTTATTCTTACAGATGTTGTTAGTATTTTATTATACCGCTAATTCATTAAGTCATTACTTACATTTTGAACATAAAATGCCGCTAATAATGCCGCTCTGCGTATCCAGCGCAGAGCGGCTCGAATCGTCGACGATCAGGTGAGCCGTATGCTCATTTGCCCCCTCTCCTTTAAAAAAAAGACTCCCCATAAATTGCCATGCTTTGTAGGTGGTTTGAAGTTTGCGAAACACAAAACAAAAGCGAAATTAAAAAGTTACAATCATATTATATACATCGATTTAACCTGCGAGAGAATGAGATAGAATACAGTATACAGTGTTTCCTGTGATCTCGCTCTCTGCTTTGTGCGGTGTTTTTTTTTATAGGAGAGGGGGCAAACGAGCATGCGGCTCACTTGATGGTAAGTGACTACCGCCGCCCATGAACAAAAAATAAACAGTTTTTATTGAGTAAATAAAATTAACCATATTGAATAAAATTATTACATCCAACACTTTAATAGCAATCCACATTTTCATAACTTACCGATTTTATCGAATTAGTCGTGTTTAGTATTTAGCGTCTATTTTATGTACAACCTTGAGAGTGAATCAATTTTTGTTCGATAAAATAACTTTACCTATAGAATGAAGTATAGAGCGCTAAGACAAAACAATTTTACTCGAAAGAAAATATTATTTTGTTTTATTACACTAAAATTAAGACACTACAATTTATATGTCCATAAATAAAATGTAAAATAATTTTTAAACTTCGTAACAATATTATAATAAATAAACCCTACAATTATCGTACTTCTGGCACTCTGAATTCGTCTTATTCTCTCGTTGCTTAGTTTTCTTAAGATTCAATTTGTACAGCATGCAAACTGCACACAAGTTTTCTTGATAATTAGAGTTGATTATCGGAAGACGCTGCTGCACATCTTACTCATATTCCCTGTATCGCTTCTTACGAAACGCACGGGATAATATTATTGAGTAGTATATAGATAATACTAAAAATTATAGCTATATCATAAGCTGCCGTATTTAGATGCAAAGCAAGTTAACAGAATACATATTAGTAGGTATTCTGTTAACTTGCTTGTCACTGTCGTAGTATAAAAAATTGCACATAGAAGAAACATAGAAGTCTCAAAAGACCTAATATTTTTATAGAATAAATGTGAAAAACGAGCACACTGTCTACTTGATGGAAAGTGAATGCTGTGGCCTACGCACATTTACACTGAGAGAGAAAGAGAGAGAGAGATGTCAAGTTTTTGATCTATCTCTCTCCATATCTTTGATTAATTGAAATTATAATTTAGAGTCGTTATCAAGAAAATCCTGCTACTCATCTCCTGTTCCATTTCCTTCAGACTCCTTCTATGACATCCAAAGGATAATAAGGGTTAGTAGATTCTCTTACGTCGTTTATTTACACTTTGTATATTACACAGTATTTTAATTCCCTTGTTTCAGACAAGTGAATATCTTTGGCGAAAAGTTTTCTTCGTAGCCGCTGGAATGTATTTCTTTACTAACCTGCTGTACGTACTCTATGGAACAGCTGAAAGGGCTGAGTGGAACGACCCGCCGGAAGAGATAAAGACTCCAGAAACGGAACCTTTTCTTACCAAAGATTAATACTGGTTAAATTGAGTTTAAAAAACCTAATAGATTTTAATAAAAAAGTGACAGTAAAAAGTTGTCTTTTAATTTGTCTCCTTGAACACAGTTTTAATTAATCTTTCTTATTTGACTTACGATGTCTTATCACATATTTTTAAACAGTTAAGGGTGTTACGAACCAACGATCTTGACTGATAATGTCGCTTCTGATGACTCAGATCAAAGAATATTGAATAATGGTATTATTGTCTTTTTTTAAATAATATAGAAGCGACAACCGGACTAACAGACCACCTGGTGGTTAATGGCTACTGCAGCCAATGAACATCTGCACTCAACTTCAACTAGGGAAAGCAACAATTCGTTGTCACCTCTGAAGACTAAGATAGACGGACGTGAAGTCTGTAATTATATTGGCTGTCTATACCTTTGAGACTAGAATCGTACTGCTGTAGTACTGCTATTTGGCGATAGAAAGAGGCTGGTGCCCAGATAGACGTCTAGGCAGAAGAGGAGTACCACCATCTTGACAAGAAGTTGTAGTCTAATTTAAATGAACTATCTCTATACCAGTAAGGCGACCGGGTTCTAGTTACTCATTATACAAAACACAGCAATATGCCTAATACCATATTATCATTACTCTGTGAGTGCCGTCCTTTCTTGGTACAGGTGCAGTTGTTATAAGTTTTCAGTATGGCTGTACCACGTTGCCGGCTCCGTGGCGCAGTGGCTTAACAATGAGTTGCTGCGCTGGGGGCCTAAAATTAAATTAATTATATTAATTTAATTTTGTGGAAGGGCGTGTACTAAGTTTTTTTTAAATGTCATTCTTGATTCTCCATGTAGTGACGATGTTAGAATATCCACTACCCCATACCATCCTGTGTTTGTCGACAGAGGGTAACAAATCAGGAGATTGACGGAAAATTCATAATAACCACTAAAAATAAAAACAAATCGGTGGCAAATAACTGCTTGCCACGTGTGGCATATATCCCCCAATAGGTAATCTATTAGAGAGGCCTATGTTCAGATGTGGACTTTGATAAATTGTAACGGTAACTCCTCCACGGTGCACGCTACTCATTAACAAAAGAAATCCCTACAATCCGACAAGTGACAATATCTTCTTCTATATCTATAGCTATAACTCTTCTATTCTATAGCTATTTAAAAGGTTTTTGGGAGACGATTGTAAGTGGTCCCATGGGAAATTACAAGTTCAGAAAACTCTAACTACTACTACTCCGGTTCTCTACACTCACCATACGAAACACAGCAGCATTGAGCTGTTATTTTATGCTGGTATTCCGTGAGAACGTGATCTTTCCCCGTTCGGGTCCACCCATTCGTACTCCAGACAAAATAAATCTTTAGCATTACTCTACCACGTATAAAACGTAATATACATCTAGTGTAAACAAAAAAAAAGTTATATGAATCAATTCACTTTAGCGCCTCAGAAAATAAATCCGCAATTACTTTAAGTTCGTAAATTGCATTAAAAAAAGTGTTCGTTTTACAAGTCCAGGTCACCATGGACATAATTAGACCTTAAAAGTCAACTGCTGAACCATTAAACATGGTCTAACAGTAGATTTTTGCAGTGTGATAATCATACCCGATGGATCATGATGAATTACAGTATCTGACAACATTATCATCATCATTACAGCCTATCAAATTCCACTGATGAACATAGGCCTTCCACATGGAATAGGTATTCTATAAGGATAGAGTGATATTTGCCATAGTTGCCACGAGTGGTATGTGGGTCGGCAAACCACCGTTATTATTTATTAAGTGTTATTAGAAAAACACCGGCCACCTGGTTTGTGTCCCTCTGTCACCTTTTACAACAGCCACGGGACGATATATGGTAACGGATATTCTTACACCTCTTCTGCTCAGTAAAAGTATTTGCAGTAATTAATAATAACATTATGCCCAGAAATACATCTGTGAAACATCAAGTGTGATGAAGTCAACCAATGAAACTGACCCACAGCGCTCTCACGGAGTATGAGCGTAAAATATCAGCTCAATGATGCTGTATTTGAAATGGTGAGCGAACAGAAACGGAGACCCTTTTTACTGGATACAAGGCATTTTATTAGCCTCAGGTGTAACAAATCATGTGCGTTTTGATTATTAATACATAGATATTTATGGGCCAAAGTATTCACTTACCATTTACACTTTATACTTTGTTCTCGTTTGTCACCCTCGTACTTTAAATAAAAACAGAATGGAAGAAGTTACAAACCGATTATTTATATCGTATAATGTATAAATATTTATTTATATGAACACATTTTGAAGTTCTTCTGTAACATTTAAACGGATAATACGGAAATAGCTGCTAACATAAATTAATAAAACATTTATTAATTACATTCCCACATAAACGTGTTCCCAGTAACAAATAAATTGTCTAGTGTCAACCGACCGACTCCTCATGGTTGGCATAAATAGAATAGAATAGAATAGAATATAATGATTTTTTATTTAATATTGATTTTTACATAATACTTATTGAAAGTCATTTTACCTACTAATAGTTCGGAAAATACCTCTGTCCTGGGAGAACCAAAAAGAAACCCAGCGGTACTTTTTTTAAACATATCTCACTTAACAATAATTTTGTTTTTACAATTCTTAATGAATTTTCATAGAACCAGCATGGTGGCGATAACCTCATTTTCAGGGGTTATTTTCATTCATGTATTCCTTGATATTATAATAACCCTTTTCGTACAGTTTTTCTTTAATAAAACTTTTAAACTTGTTTATTGACAAACTTTGAATCTTTAAACAAATGTTCTGGGATTTTGTTGTAAAAACGTATACATTGCCCCATAAATGAATTACTCATTCTGTGTAGTCTAGTAACTGGTATTACAAGCTTATGTTTGTTCTTAGTATTTAAAGTATGCACATCCTTATTCTTTTTAAAGCTATTTATGTTTTTATGTACATAAATTACATTTTCATAAATATATTGCGATGCCAGAGTTAATATGTTTATTTCTTTAAAATTATCCATGAGGGACTCTTTACAATTTAAGTTATATATCGCCCGTACGGCTCTCTTTTGTAAAACAAACATGACTTCAATATTAGTCGCATTACCCTATAGCAAAATTCTATAAGATATTACACTTTTAATTTACAGCATATTATGCTGCAGAACTAAGTCCGCTTGCTAATTTAGGTATATGGGGCCCGATTGGAAGTTTCGCGTCAATGTAATACAAGGAAAAAGAAAAACAGTGGTATCCGCAAGACTCACCTCCTCCCCGTTTAGGAGCACATTGGTATTCAATGTTTTATATTAGGTATTGTAAATTTAATACATTTTGTCTTAGTCCCGTTTAAGGGCAAATTGTTGCCGTTAAACCAATGTAATAATTTCGATAGAGCATTATTTACATCGTCATAACTAATTGACTGTCGTTTGAGTTTCAAAATTAAAGATATATCATCAGCAAATAATGCTACATCGTGATTGTCTCCTACAAGATAAGGTAAGTCATTGATATATATTAAGAATAGGAATGGGCCAAAAATCGAACCCTAAGGAACGCCCATTGACACTACCGATCCCGAGGAACCTTTACCATTGGTCACGATTTTTTGAGTTCTGTTACTTAAATATGAAGTAATAAGTCTAAGTGCCAAATTTTTTACACCGTGATGTGGTAGTTTCCTGTATACTTAGTATTCATAATAAATACAATCAAAATACTTGGCAAGATCACAAAAAATGCCTAAGGCATCTTGTGAACTCTCCCAGGATTAAATTTATTTATTTTTAATTATTATTATTTTTCATTATTTTTTTATTAAAATATATTTCATTTAATTATTATTTATTTAATTTTACTGATAGTTGGAAGTACAGAAATAGGTCCAAAATTAGCGAGGTCCAATGTACTACCAGATTTAAATAAAGTAAAAATATTATATTTTTAGTATATTTCATTAAATCAGGAAAACACCAGAATCGATACCAGTATTAAATAATAGCAAGATGAAGTTCAATTAAATCTATTATGGACGCAATAATTCTAGCATGGAAAATGTTTAATGTAAGTAGATGCATACGAATACGTGGTCTTAACTTTTTTTGCATAAACTAAATAATTAAAGATTCTAATAATTAACTTAATAAGAGTCGCGTTATAAAATAAAATGATGTGTTTAAAAAGCATGTAGTTCTTTCCAGGACAGATATTTATCTGGTAAAGTTGTATATTTTGGGATCCCAATAGCAATTATTATTATCATTATCCCAATCCCAATCCCAAAGTACATTATAATAATTACTTTGTATCTCATTATAAGTGAACTATTGTATGTTCTTATGAGAAATAAAATTCTTTAAACCGAAACCGATGTCCTGCCCTCCCTCAATTGCGCGCCTTATCCCCGTCAAGACACGTGTTTCGCCTCTTAACGAGAATTCCTCAAGTGGACTCTGCGGTAGCTGACCGCTATGAGACTAAACTAGGTAACATCATGTTATTTACGCGGATTCTAACTAATTAATTTTCAACATCTTTAATATAATGGATTTCCGCCAAGTAACGCCTAATTATATTGTCTCAAAGTAAATAAATTCTAAAACAGGATTGCCGTAATTATATCACTCACAATATTTATTTATTTACTATAGCAGTCGTGCGATTTTGTCTTACGACATCATTAGGTTAAATAATAATATTTCTTGTTTCAATTGGAATCATGTTCACAGTGTCCTTGTCGGTCATGGTCTATCTAGTCTGGTCGCGTAGTGTATATTTTCTTTGGTCTGGTCCAGTCACGTCAGTAAGAAAAGTTGTCGAACAATAATAAAAGTTTAATTCAATAAACCTACTACATAGTACAATTATATTGAGTTTACAAATAAATCGATTTTAAATTACCTGCAGGTTCACAGAACATTATTAACAACTATTATTCTCTGAAGTCATATAATTGAAAGTTAATAAGTTGTGCCGTTAGACAGG